AAAGGTGGATGGCTTCCGGCTTTCCTACAGCCATCCTTATTTGCTCCTGGGCAGCTCAGACATAATCATTATGACCCAATTGTCTTTGTTGCAAAGAGAGCATCCGACATACCCCTAGATCACAATTTCCAGGGCCTAGTACAGGGGTGGGGTGTGGAAATCAGCCTATATTGTATTTTTTTGTTGTTCCCACTGCAAGCAAGTCTCTCCAAAGTCCCTGGAATAGGTAGACTTTCTCCTCATGCAACACAAGAAATGCTTGAGTGTGACACAGCCTCTCAAATTTGAACAAATGAGTTAATAGAAAATCTATATTTTGGGTAGAGGTCTGTAAAACTGGAGACACTGCATATCTGATTTTCCCAAATTCCTGAATACGAACTATGTACAGAGACAGGGAACTTTTATCTGGCTGATTTTATCACAAAGCAACAAAAAGCTGGAAGATTGGTATAAGGGGATAAATAACTTTCTTTTGGGGTCACTGGGTTAGGAGGTGAGCTGGAGGCTGGTCTCTACTACATTAATACTAATTATGGCTCATATATATATATATATATATATATATATCAATTACTATATTCCCTATATGTTACTAAGTGCTTCCTTAAAGTTAACATTTGACCTTCATTACAATCTTATGAGATACTAGATTTTGGGAGTGATCTGTGCTAACAGAGAACAAAATGACTGAATACAGAAATTAGCAATACATTTTATTAGATATATATTCTATTATACCCATCTTATAGATCAGAAAGTGGAGATACACAGTGTGGGGAACATAGAACATTTTGGAAGTTATATATGGGCAGTAATTGTTTTTTAATGTAAATGAACAATTCTCTTTCACTTTGTGCTTTATCATGAGCACAGCTGGACATGTGACTTCTAGGCACGGAAAGCTTACTTCTTGTTCTATTACAGACCCAACTTATCCTAAGAGAGCCAAAGACATGGTCATGTGGCTAAAGGCTCTGAATCTTCAGCCCCAGGGCTGAATTTTTCACAAGTGACATTTGAGAAATGCATGGTATACCTGTTTTTTGTTGTTGTTTTTGAGACAGAGTCTCGCTTTGTTGCCCAGGCTAGAGTGAGTGCCATGGCGTCAGCCTAGCTCACAGCAACCCCAAACTCCTGGGCTGAAGCAATCCCCCTGCCTCAGCCTCCTGAGTAGCTGGGACTACAAGCATGCACCACCATGCCCGGCTAATTTTTTCTCTATATATTAGTTGGCCAATTAATTTATTTCTATTTATAGTAGAGACGGGGGTCTCGCTCTTGCTCAGGCTGGTTTCGAACTCCTGACCTTGAGCAATCCACCCCTCAGCCTCCTAGAGAGCTAGGATTACAGGCGTGAGCCACCCCGCCTGGCCCGGTATATACCTGTTATATGTCAGTTTTTCAGCACAAACATGTGCTGAGGACAATCACAATACATATAACAACTTGTGGACTTTTGTATTTAATGTTTTTCTTCTTATATGGCATTGTTTTGTTCATTTCTATAGTGTTTTCAAGCATCTATTTATCTGTTCCTTTTAGTTTGTTTTTTTTCCTTATCCTAGTTTTGAAAATGTAAACCTCCTTTTTTTTTTTTACTTTTTACATATCCAAAGCAATTATTTCTGTAAAAATCAAAAGTTTAATGGGTTTAATGGCTAGTTATGTATTTTTGTTATACATCGAAGTAACATCGAAATAATAATACAGTTTTAAGAAATGCGCTTCTGTGTATCGCTTGAAATGATCTTGCATGCCACTACTGCTCTGATGACACCCTGGGGGAAGGATACGGGTAGAAGCAGGGGAGAGATGAAAGAAAGGAAAGAGCCAGGCCTTGTGCTCAGCTCTTTACCCATGTGAACCTTATTTAATCTTCACACAACATTCTATGCTACAGGTATTTGCTATCTCAGGAAAGCAAAGCTCAGAGGGGCTAAGGAAAGAGCCAAAGGTTACACAGCTAGTAAGTGACGGCACTGCTTGTTTAATAAAGACAGCAGTGAAATAAAGACAAGTGGAGGGAGGAGAACAAACACTTCAGGAAAGAAGAGGGTTAAACATGTGTTATACGACAATAGGATTCTAGAGATGAGAGAAATGGAAAAACAGAATCGTTTGCATGTGACTGATAATCTTCCTCTGTTCTTCCTTCCACTATTTATGTAATGACCCAATTCCACTCATTCATTCCACAAATAATCACTGAGTATTTTTATCTTTCAGAAACCATATTAGGGAGTTTCTTTTATCCCTGTGTTGCTAACACCGAGCACAGTGCTAGGAAAATACTAGGTGTTCAAAAAAACGTTTTTGAACAATGAATTAGCCTGGTGAAGGAAAGAATAAATAAACAAACGTTTGCACTACATAGTGATAAAGACCAGGGAAAAATCAAAGTTGAATACTCCACCACAGAACCTGGGTCAGAGAACATTTCAGGACCAAGTGATGCCTGAGCAAGGTTTTGAAGCAGAAATAAAAGTTAGCCAGTCAAAGAATAGGAGGAAGTGAGGAAAGGACCATGAATGCAGAGACCAGCCTAAACAGTGAAAGGGGAAGGTGAGAATTTAGGAGTTCAGTACTCTTATTTGGTGGAGAATGCAAGGAAGAAGGCTGGGGAGGGAGGTGTGGTCAGGGAGGTCCTGGGACTTTCTCTGCATGGGTCCCTTAGCTCTGTCCCTCCCTTGAATTTTGGGAGTGATCTGTGCTAACAGAGAACAAAATAACTGAATACAGGAATTAGCAATACATTTTATCACTTTAGTGTGGCTCCATACTAGAGACTGGATAGGTTTTTTAACTCCTTACAATGTTAAGATTTAAAATTAGTGCTCAAATGGAAAGTTTAGACTTTGTCGTCTCCTGCATGGGAAAACCAAATTATTTTTCTGGTTCTTGAGGGCAGATTCTATTTTAGCATAATTTATACAATCACACACACACATATACACACACACAAATTCCAAACAAATGTTCTTGTATGTTTTTCTGGAGGGAGAGTTTCTTTCCTGATTTTAGGTTTTGGTGGTTTTATTTTTCATTTTACTATGTTATAGAAGAGTCGGGAAGTAAAAATGTAGTTCTGTTTTGTTTGTTTGTTTTTAAGTGAGATGAGGCATTGAATGACAATAACAAAAGCCATCCTTTTATCTTCACAGTCGCTATTTATGCCAGTTAAGATTCTGGCTATTCATAATAGACTCTGAAAACTTAACTCCCAATATCTCTTCGTTTTGTAGGGATCTTTTCTACCAACTTTTCATTCCAGGCTCAGAGGTCTGCACGCCTCTTCACCATATCCACATTTGTAAAACACCCTTGGTCATAATGTTATTAGGAAGGGAATTCAAAGCAGAAATGAAATTGACAAATAATCCAAAACCTATTTCAGGTACTAGATTAAATCCTCTACATTTTAGCATTAAATTCTTGGGCAAGTTTCTTAACATTTCTGAGCTTCAATTTCATCATCTATAAAATCAGGATCATAATAGCATATGTCTCATGGAATTGTTGGGAGTATTAAATGAGTTATTACATGTAAAATGCTTATATCAATGCCTGAGGCATAGTAAGCCATTATTATTGTTATTGTTATTACTTCTACCACCCAAAGTATAATTTGAAATGTTAACAGATGTCCATATTAAATGCTTTTTGATAGCATGCATTCCTCTACCTGTCATAACTAAAATAAAGGAAACAAGAGAGGAAATGGAAAAAGGACTAAATAATACTCACGCAGAACAGTCCAGCCCAGAGAGTGAAGTCATTCTTTGTATGATATGATTGAAATGTTGTTCCCTTATAACTTGTTGGCCATTTCCCACTATTGCTCCTGATAAATCTAGTATGTATTCATCACTAAAATGAACATCATCTCCAGTTCCCTCATTTTATTTCATTTTTGTCTCTTTTGTTCTCTGCTGTCACCCTGGTGCCTCACACAGTGCCTGGTGTAAACAGATACTGGTACATGTTTGATGATTGAATGAATGAAGGAAAATCTGCTTCTTTCTCTATTTTTGACAGTATTTATTCTTCAAATAAATACTTTTTCATTAAACCATTAAAGGCCTTTGCAAAGAGAATTTGTGTATTGTTGATAGTCAATATAAACATTTTTTAAATTATTGAATGTGCATTAGTGCACATGATTAAAGGGGCAGGCTTGGTAGTCAAGCTGTGTGGACATGAATCCCAGTGCCATCACAGAGTTGGGTTTCCTGGGTTCAAATCTTGGCTCTATCATTTGGACGTCTTGGATTCCAATTTTGACTCTCCCACTTTTTACCTGAGTGATCTTGAACAAGTTAGTTAACCTGACGGCTTCACTCTTCATCTGTAAAATGGGGGGGGGGGATAATTAAGGATTTTATGAGGATTAAATGAGTCAATGTTTATAAAGCATTAAGAATCATAGCTGGCACTTTGTAAACACTAGAGTTACTTGTTAAACAGTAAAAAGAAACCCTAATTTTCCAACTAGATATAATAATAATACCTACCTTATAGAATTATTGTGATGATATTGCATGGCACGTAATAAACACTTAATAAAATATTATTGTTACTGTAGATATTGTTGCAAAGTTTTATTTCTATAATCTATCAGGACTCGGCGCCCTGACTTAGCCCTTCCATTTTTGGATCCATTGAAAAAGTCTTATTGATTCTACTTTACCTTTCACTCGCAACTCTTTCTACCTACCCTGTGTTTGTCTTGTCATTTTGCCTTGCGTCATTCCCTCCTTTTACACCGTATACTCCTCAGGGCAGGGACTTTGTTCTTTGTTTTGGCATAATTTAATAACGCTGGGTACACTCAGGGTACTATAAAATGTTAAAGAAGAAAAAGGAAAAAGATGTAATTTACCAAGAGGCCACAGGTTGACAGCTGGTTGGGTCACTGTTCTGTCTGCGGTGTACTCAGTGCAAGCCGCCCAGCAGCTTCTAGGGGCGTGGCCGGTGGCTCTCGGGTCGCGCGCGCGCGTCCTGCAGGGCCACTGGGGTGTGCGCGGCGGGCGCGCCGGGAGCATGAGCCTCGGCAGTGGCACGCAGGCAGGCGCAGGAGGCTGCAGGCTCAGGACGTCGCGCTCACACAGGTTTGCTGGCTGCTTTTGCTTGGCAACTTGGTAAGAGAGACCCGGCGGCGTGAGTAAGTGAGCTGAACTTGGAGGGGGAGACTGAAAAAGAAATGCAGCAAAGAACTGAAAAAGGAGGGGAGAGGGAGGGATTCATTAAGGAGAGAGGCTGTGGTGGCCCTTGCTTTTGAGAAAGGTTTCTTGCATGCTGGATGGTGCAACGCAGGCTGTGATCTTGTTTCTGGCATTTTTCCAAATGGGAGGAGTATGCTACATGGCTGTAGAATATTCTTCAAAAATGTAGGACCAATCTGATCTTTATTGTCAAAGCGATCTCACTGGAAGAATTGGTGTTTCCAACTTTGTTTTGCGAAAGCCTGAAAAGCCATCAAATGGTTGAGAGCACTAGGAAATGGAGCTATCTTATCACAATCCTGAGAGTACTGTCCTTGCTATTTTATTCTTTCTTGTCTTTTGAAGCAATTATTCAGTAACGGCACATTTAAAAAAAAAAAGTCTGACACCTTTTTGGCATGTGTAACCATACTGTATTTAATTATTCTTTCTGTACATTGGAGTCCATTCTGAGTGGTTGATATATATATATATTTAAACTTATTATTTTAAAATAATTACAGATTCCCAGGAAGTTGCAAAGGTAGCACAGAGAGGCCACAACATGCCTTTCACCCAGTTTTTTCCAGTGGTTACATCTGACATACTTTTAGTACAATATCAAAACCAGGAAATTGACATTGGTGCAGTGTGTGCATAGTTTCTATGTCATTGTTTCACATGTGTAGATCTGTGTAACCGCCACCACAATCAGGATACAGCACTTCCATGGCCACAAAGATCTCCCCTGTGCTATTTATTTATTGTTATGCACCTCCCTCCCTCCCAACCACATATTTTCCATCTCTATATTTTTATCATCTTGAGAATGTTACATAAATGGAATCATACTGTATGTGATCATTTTGAGATTTATTTTTCACTCAATGGCCTTGAGATCCATTCAAATTGTTGTGTAAATCAATAGTTTAGTCCTTTTTATTGCTAAGTAGTATTCTGATTACTTGACTCTATCTAGTAGTACACTTTTTCTATCAATAATTATACTTACTTGAAACTTCAGTGGGATTAAAGAGGTGCTGGGACACTCGGTGAGGTGAAAAGTGTGAGGACAAAATTTGAATGAAGTTTTTCTTTTCAAAATGACTTTTGTGTGTGATAGGGCAAAAGGATGTATAAACCACATCTTCATTTAAAACAGAGACCACCGGAGGATTGGAAAGGAAAAAGGAATAGAGCAGAGGAAAGTATGTATTTAGACAATAAGGTATAAAAATCTGGTACCTCTTAAAATTTTTACACCCATATGGTAATCTGTTAATTTACCTTTAGCTAAGACATCTCAGATTTCTTAAAACTGATCAAAACAATGCCTCTGCAACAGGAAATTTCCCACTCAGTCACATACAGACAACTCAAAGATAGAGGCATGGCTGGAAATGACAGCAAGTAACTGATAGGAGTCACCCAGAACCAAGACAGCATCTTTAGCCCAAGGGCAACTGTTAAAGTCAGGATGTTAAGGTTCAGAGACCGGTTCAGTGTTATACTGCTCTGACCTTTCACCCCACCTGCCGGTGGGAAGGGCATCTCTCAGAAGTCCCTTTAAGCCAGGTTTTAAAACAAGGATGCCATCCTTTGTTTGCATGTCCACACATGCCAGAGACCTGAAACTGGAGGCTGCAACTATTGATAGCTAAGGGAAATGCATCACTTTTGAATAGTACCTAGAAGAATTAGGCTCGACCCCTCCCTTCAGCCAGCGCCCATTGGAGAGGTTGCCATCACCCCACCTTCCCTCCCCAAGCAGAAGAGAAAACAAAATATTTATTGCAGTCTGAATGCATTTGTAAATACCCCTTTGAGTCTCTAGAATTTCACGTTCTGAACTTCCAGAGACATATTGTCAGTTCACAGAATAAAACAAACTATCAGTCTGGAGCCCTGACTAGACTTGAGTCTAACTGAATGCATTGCTGTTAAATCTCTGCTTTAGAGGTTTCTGTTACCAGAAAAATACTCCTTATCTTAATCCTTGGGAGAGGATGGAGGGTAGGCAGGAGATGGTGGTTCCAAAGTCTAAATAACATGGAGGACTGTCATAGCTAACATAATTTATGACTCCTTTTATAGCCCAATATGCTTTTCTGAATATTTCAAAATGGAATAGAATCACTTGTGCTGTCTTTATGATTTATTTTATTTTGAGTAAACATTAGATACCTCATATCGCTTTGCAGGTTGCTCTTCTGGGTTATATCTCCTATGTGTTTGGACCCACAGAATGTGGCAGGGTAGAAAACTGTAATATTGAGGCAATGAATACTTAGCTGTGAGTCAGGGAGTTGAACAAAAGCTCACTGAATCTTGTCTACTCCTCTTATTTTATGCTGTTTACTTATTTGACTAATGATGATAGTCATTAGGAAGGTGTGGTATGAAATGTAAATATATTATATTGACTATGGTTCCCAACATTGCAGGCATTGTTTTTTTAAGGGGTAATGTTTTCGACTGTTTTTTAATGCTTTTTCTTTAAAGAGAATAAGAGTTTTTGAAAGAAAAATAAAATAGAAATGCCTCATGTACTATATCAATGTAGGCAAAAATCAAGCATTAGTTGTAAAACTTGTAATTAACATTTAAACTATTTTGTAACACTTTGAGGAATGAAACCAAATATAATTCTCTCCATTATTTTGTATACCATAATTCCTTAAAGTTCAAAGTCCTCAACCTAGTAGTCAAGGTCGACCTCAGCTAAACCCTAGGCAAACATTCCATTTTAGCTAAAGTAGACTCTTGTTGTTTGGTGTTACTGAGGTCAGACTTCCGATCCTATTTCTCCTGCCTGGAACCATGTCTTCTCTGTCTGAAGTCACATCTTTTGTCCTACACAAATCCTGGTCTATTTGCCACAGCTCTTGTGCTGAGTAATCCAGTTCAGTTCAACATATCTTGGAGACAGGGATCCTGTGTTACGAATCATGTTCAACACTAAATAGGTACCCGATGGTGACGGTAAGTCCTTAAAGCTGGACTCTGAAGTCAGACATGGTGGTGTGTGAGTTTTGGCTCAGCCAGAACCTCAAGACCTTATTAGCTTTGGTCTTTGGGTAAGTTACTCCATCTTTCTGAGCGTCAGCTACCTCGTTTGTACAATAGGGATAACGATAATACCTACCTCCAAAGTGAGGGTATTAATGGTGTGATACATGCAAAGTGCTCAGCACAGTGCTGGGCTGGGCCCCAAATAAGGTCTCAGTGAAAATTTCATTGTTATAATTAATATGATTATTACTAATGAGAACTTTAAAAATGAGATTTCAGACTTTACAAAATTAATAAGACTGTGACCTGAGTGAAGGATAGTGTGCACAAAACTCGACTGTTTAGTCTTCTCTGTGTCTCTCAGCCCTACTTGCCATCATAAGAAGGGACAGGGTCCGTCTGTGCCTATCAGCCAGGAAGAGAGGGTCTGCAGTTGCCACCCACTGAGATTAGACACAAATAGATGAAGGCAGAAAGATTCTTCCCTTCTTAGGGCTAATAAAAATATGTGTGGCTTGGCACAGATTTTATTTTTGGAAGGAGATAATCAAATGATGAATGAATTCCTATAACAAATGCTAGATGTTGGCTTCAAAGAGTAATTAAAATAACCTCATGGTGAGTCATCTATCCTTGAAGCTATTTACATATTCAACCTGTAACCTTAGAAAAGTGAAAATTTCAATGAATTAGCTGATTGTTTGATCTGCATAATACCAAATTATTAGGTTTTCTGACATTCCCCTACAAATTGGTTGATGTTTCACCGAGGCATAGCTTCAGTTCAATCAAGAACATAGCCATTACTGCTTTTTTGGTTACAGTGATGTCTAAGCAAGCACCTTTTATGTTTTGAATTACAGATCTACAAGAAGTTTGTTTAAACTATAGCATACAATCACAAACAGAACAGCAATACTTTAAAATAAATAAGAAGGTAGAATGGGTTTGGGATAAGGGGTATAGTCACAGATTCTAACTTTATCCTGTTCCTGGGTCTGCACCTTAAATAATACTCTTTGATAAGTGATTGGAACCCTATATATACATATATGTCAAATTCACAGCCTCCCCAAGATGTCCCCAAAACCACAATTATGGAGTGGGGTTCACACATGCACATAGATATGCATAAATTTCATGATCTTGTATGTAGAGGAATCCTAGGCTTCACACACAAAAAAATGTTAAAGATAATAAATACATTTAGAAAAGTTGCATGAACAAAACCAACATATTAATACAAAAATCTGTTGTGTTTCTATACATTAACAATAAACTATCCTAAAAGGAAACTAACGAAACAATCCTATTTCTAATAGCATCAAAAAGAATAAAATATTTAGGAATAAACTTAACCAAACAGGTAGAAGACTTGTACACTGAAAACTATAAAACAGCAATGAAAGAAATTAGAAGACAAATGGAAATACATCCTGTGTTCATGGGTTGGAAGACCTAACAATGTTAAAATGTCCATCATATTACCCAAAGTGAGCTACAGATTCAATACTATTGCCATAAAAATCCCAATGGCATTTTTTACAAAAATTGAAGAAATAATCTTAAAATTGTTATGAAACCACAAAAGACCCAAAATAGTCAAAGTGATTTTGATAAAGAACAAAGTTGGAGACATCACATGTCCTGGTTTCAAAATATATTACAAAGTTACAGTAATCAAAAGAGTATGGTATTGGCATAAAGACAGTCACATAGATCAATGGAACAGAATATAGAGCCCAGAATTAAAATCATACATATAGGGCCAACTGATCTTTGACAAGGGTGCCAAGAACACTCAATAAGTAAAAGATAGCTTCCTCAACAAATGGTGTTGGAAAAGCTGTATATCCACGTGCAAAAGAATGAAATTGGACCTCTATCTGACACCATATATAAAAATACACTCAAAATGGATTAAAAACTGGAATGTTAAGACCTGAAA